TAAATGCTATGTATATATTTCTAGACAATAGTATGTAACTAAGGTAGGTGAAAATGTTCATCTGTCACTGTGTTTGTGATTATTTGAGTACTATCTCAGTACCTAATATTAGTGTCAGAACAAAGATTGGCTATGAAATCACAAGAATTACTACAAATTGTAATTATCAGAACATAAAAATTATATAAATTAAAAAAAAAATTAGAAAAAAAAGGTATACCGGCAACACTTCTGCAAGCAGAAGTGCATCATGTTGCCATCAGGTGAGCAACAAGCGCCGACTTTGCGGCATTATGTCTCCATAAATACTGACTCTAAAAATTTTTTTTTAAATTTATTACATGTAAAAAAATGTCCTCTTTATTTAAAAATTTTTGGTTTTCTTTTTTCAAAATACAGTGGACCCCCGCATAACGATATTAATCCGTTCCTGAGAGCTCATTGTTATGCGAAATTATCGTTATGCGAATGAATTTTCCCCATAAGAAATAATGGAAATCAAATTAATCCGTGCAAGACACCCAAAAGTGTGAAAAAAAAAATTTTACCACATGAAATATACATTTTCCTACACACAAAGAGAAGGATACATGCACAATAGTAGAGTAGTACATGCACAATATATATTGTGCATGTACTACTCTACTAAATGAAGAATAAATGACACTTACCTTTATTGAAGATGCAGCAATGACTGATGAGACACTGTGTCCTGGGAGTGCCTTTTCCTCCTCAGTACTGTAGGTCCTGTTTGGCATTTTCTTCCAGAACAGGCCTTATCACATTGTGTATGCCACTACGATTCTTAAATCTCTCAAACCAACCTTTGCTGGCTTTAAATTCACCAATATGAGCACTAGTTCCAGGCATTTTTCCCTGTTCACCTGGGTGTTAGTCGACTGGTGTGGGTTGCATCCTGGGAAACAAGATTAAGGACCCCAATGGAAATAAGTTAGACAGTCTTCGATGACACTGACTTTTTTGGGTTATCCTGGGTGTCTAACCCTCTGGGGTTAATTGTTTCTTGGTATTCTCAATAAGCCACACCAACAACGGTGCTACAGCAGCAGCTGACAGTGTTACAGCAGCAGCAGCAGCACCTGACAGTGCTACAGCAGCAGCAGACAGTGCTACAGCAGCAGCAGACGGTACTACAGCAGCAGCAGCAGCTGACGGTGGTACAGCAGCAGCAGCAGCTGATGGTGCTACAGCAGCAGCAGCAGCTGATGGTGCTACAGCAGCAGCAGCAGCTGAGTGCTACAGCAGCAGCAGACGGTGCTACAGCAGCAGCAGACGGTACAACAGCAGCAGCAGCAGCTGACGGTGGTACAGCAGCAGCAGCAGCTGACGGTGCTACAGCAGCAGCAGCTGACAGTGCTACAGCAGCAGCAGCAGCAGCAGCTGACAGTGCTACAGCAGCAGCAGCAGCAGCTGACAGTGCTACAGCAGCAGCTGACAGTGCTACAGCAGCAGCAGATGGTGCTACAGCAGCAGCAGACGGTACTACAGCAGCAGCAGCAGCAGCAGCTGACGGTGGTACAGCAGCAGCAGCAGCTGATGGTGCTACAGCAGCAGCAGCAGCTGACAGTGCTACAGCAGCAGCAGCATCAGCAGTTGACGATGGTACCACAGTATTTCGATAATATTTCTCACCCTTTTTACCACAGGGTTGGCACTAGAAGCGTTCTTGGGGCCCATGGTCACTTATTTTGCAGATAAAATCACCAAAAACGCTGTAATAATACGAAATGTTCCGATTGTATGCTTGGATGTTACCGCGGAGGCTGGCTTGTAAACAATGCCACCAGCGGAACATGTGAGGCTGGCTTAGGCCTCACATAGACGCGTCTCGGACGAATGGCGTTGAGCAGGTTTTTTAGCGGTATGCGAGGCAAAATCTTAGCGATAAAATGTATCGGTATGCGGATTTAACGTTATGTGATGCCAACGGTATGCGGGGGTCCACTGTACAGTGGTCCCTCTCTTTTCATCGAGCTCCATTATCGCCGATTTCCATCTTCGCTAACTTTTTCCATCAAAATATTGGTTCCGTTTTTGTTGATTTCCTCTGTTTCCATCAATGGTACAGAGCCTGTCCAGTGCCCAGTGCATAGACAAAGCCGCCTCCCACACGCATTCTCAGGCAGTGCCGTGCTGGTTCTTGGTGAGTGAACATATCCTGTGAGGTCATATGAAACATTTCATAATAATCCATTTTTTTACACTTGTTTATTGTGTGTAACTGCTAAATAAGCCACCATGGGCCCAAAGAAAACTTCTAGTGCCAGCCCTTTGGTAAAAAATGTGAGAAACGTCATAGAATTCAAGAAAAAATTTGCAGAAAATACGAAAGTGGTGGTGGTGATAGAGGGTGGTGTGGTGATGGTGGTGGTAGAGGGTGCCTTCTTCAGTGATTCTACGATATGTAGGATACTAAAGCAGCATGAGTCGATGAAAGCTATAGCGCCAGCCAGCGATAAAGTGTAGCATTAGCAGTGTAGCAAATAAGCTAAGCGATTAATTGACAGAAAAAGGACAGCACAAACCTAACTCCTCCAATGTTGTTGGATTTATATAGGGCTACTGAGAACACCGCCACCTATGCTGGCCTTCACCACCACTATGTACGGCTTATGCTCTCAGTGACCCTTATACACCCAACAACAAAGCACAACACCAGTCGTGACATACATAAACATATTTTATTCATTCTAGAGTATATGTCATATTTCTATGTTATTAATATTATTTATTAATTCATATTAGTTGAATTGTGATAGATAAATAAGCCACAGAGTTTATATCAGTGTCATATTGAAGCATATTGTCCTCTCTCTAACAATAAACTCGCCTCCCTCTCCCCTCCGCCCTGTCTGCCATACACCAACAAGAGTCATCAATAAAGGTAAGTGTGATTTTAAATGTTCATTTATACATTTTGTTAGTGCTTTATATTTATTTGTCATTCTTTTCTGCATGTAAATCTATATTTAAGCTAGGGAAGTGGCTAGGCAAGTGACCTCTGAGAATTACTTGGTACTTTGAGTCCTTATGGAGGGGGATTTCCCTTCCAAACAATAACCTCTCTTCCCTCTCCCCTCCTCCCTGTCTTCCATCCATCACCAACAGACTTCAATAAAGGTAACTGTCATGTTTAATGTTCATTCTTTTGTGCATATAAATCTATCTTCAAGGTAAAAAAAAAAAAATTTTTTGTTAATACTTTTGGGTGTCTGGAATGGATTAATTGGATTTACATTATTTCTTATGGGGAAAAAGGTTTCCGTTTTCGCCAATTTCCATTTTCGCTGATAGCTCTGGAACAGATTAAACATGAAAACCGAGGGCTCACTGTATTCGGAGTGCTGGGTGAGAGAATGTAGATCTACATTTGGACAGTTAAGTGGTTAAGGGTTGAACACAAGAGATGGCTAAGGTATGGCAGTGTACACACACTACAGCAGCAAGCTTGCTTTCAAAGATTTTCAAAATTGTCAATATTTTTGTTTCGACTTTACTTCAGCACTACAATAATCCTTTTTACTCTATAGCATATGTAATGTAACTTACAGAAAATTTACATTAGAATGTAATTTTTGCATTTTAAAATACCTTTGCTGTGATTAAGGAACATGTGTAATAATAGAAAGACATGCTGGCCATCACTGATCCGGCAATCACTAATCCAGTTCCATTACTAATCGGGCATTAATTCAGCTAGCATAATTTCAAATTTCGCCACACCAACATCTGCTCAACCAGATGTCATGCCACCATCATCATCAGCTCCTGATATCTCAGTCACCTTACAAGACAGAGAACATTGCAATCCTGACAGCCCTTCACCTCAAGACATGTAAATGTGCTTAGCTGTAAATTTCAGTTCTTCACTTTGGAAGCAACAGTGATGAACTTGCTTGTTTAAGTCAAGTTGGTTAACTTAATTAACCAACTTGTACTGATTAATGGGGTATTTTAAAGGTAGGATGATGCGGATAGCTGTTCGGTTAAGTGTATTTATTCTAACCTAACTACTCTGTGATCCAGCAAAATCACTAATCCGGCACCCTACAGGTCCCAATGATGCCGGATTAGCGATGGTCGACCTGTACCTTAAATAAGTGCCTTTTTTTTTTTTAATGCCAACTTGACACTTTTTTCCTTCACACAGTAGATAATTTTTTTTAACACAATGGCCATCTCCCACTGAGGAAGGGTGACCCAAAAAAGAAACATTTTCACCATCGTTCACACTATCACTGTCTTGCCAGTGTCTTTAGAGTGTAGACTCTGTACTTCCCACCTTCAGGACTCAAGTCAGGCTAGCCAATTTCCTTGAATCTCTTCACGAAATATTACTCTACTCACACTCGTCAAGTCCCAAAAGCCATTCATCTCCACTTCTATCTAACATGCTCATACATGCCTGCTGCATGTCCAAGCCCCTTGCACACAAAACCTCCTTTACTCGTTTTACAACCTCATCTATAAATATGTTAAACAATCATGGTGACATCACGCATCCCTGTCTAATGCCTGCTTTACTGGAAGGTAATCTCACTCTCTATCCTACTCATCCTAACCTGTGTTTCACTATCCTCTTAAAAACTCTTCACAGCATTTAGTAACTTACTACCTATTCCATACATCTGCCACATTGCTCCTCTATACATCCTATCATAAGCCTTTTCTAAATCTATAAAAGCAATGAAAACTTCCCTACCTTTAAGTATTGGTCACCTATATGCTTCAATGTAAACACTACATTTACACACCCCCTACCCTATACATTTTACCTGGTATACTAAAAAATAGTTTAGATGTACAGTATTTCCTAATTTACTAGAAAACAGTGTAATATTTTTTTCTATTTCTAGCAGTCGTTATTAAAGGTCATTACGTGTCTTTCCAACAACATACTAAAAATCATCAGAAAATGATTTCTTACAATAACATTTTTCTAACTTTAAACAAAATCACTTTTTTTTTTTTTACCCCACCTTATTGTAGAAAATCCAGGGGAGTGTCACCATGGACATGTGACACCCCCCTGATGGTTTCTATTGTTCATGGAGCAGCCTGGGTTAAACCATCTATTGGAATCAGTTAGCTGAGTGATCTCAGGAGTAGTATGTGGCAAGCAGTCCTCTCAGTGACACCAGAGCAGCAATTTGTTATACTGGAATTCCAAAAAATGAAATGCCAAGCATGAATTTTAGACCTCTTCAACAAGTAAATCATCAATTTACATCATAATGGCTTATACATAATGAACTGATAGTAGTATATTTTGACATCAAGACTGTATCACAACTAGTGTATACAGTATCTGTCAGACACAATCGTAAAGTCTTCTGCAAACTTGAAATCCAGAGGATATTTAATTTATTAACATTTTTCCAATTTTCAAGATTAGGCTTGGTTATGCAAGTTTACTATGCATAACCTTGTGCAATTGAATAAGAATTAACTACACAGCCTCTCCTCACTTAGCAACGTACGGTGGAACCTCTACTTATGAGTTTAATCTGCTCCATGACCTTGCTCACATCTGGATTTGCTCATTTGCAGAGTCAATTTTCCTCATTTAAATTAAATAAAATGGAATTAATACATTCCCGTGGAATTCCAGACACGACAAAATACTTCAACAATTTCCCTAAAATCAACTCTACAGCTTATTTATCTATCACAATTCATCTAATATGACACAATAAACAATATTAATAACATATAAGATTTCGTTCAGATTTTTAACCCCAGAGGGTTACCCACCCAGGATAACCCAAGAAAGTCAGTGCATCATCGAGGACTGTCTAACTTATTTCCATTGGGGTCCTCAATCTTGTCCCCCAGGATGTGACCCACACCAGTTGACTAACACCCAGGTACCTATTTGCTGCTAGGTGAACAGGACAACAGGTGTAAGGAAACGTGTCGAAATTTTTCCACCCGCCGGGAATCGAACCCGGGCCCTCCGTGTGTGAAGCGGGAGCTTTAGCCACCAGGCCACCTTCACAGGATATATACACTAGAATTAATGAAACATTATGTATGTGAGTAGTGTTAGTGGAGGCAGCAAAACTGCCTTTGTTGTTGTTGTTGTTGTTGTTGTTGTTGTTGGGGTGTATAGGGCCACCACAGCAGCCATTCCTACATACCTTCCCATGCTTTTATTATAAGAGACAACGGAGTGTTTGTAAGGCAAACTTCATTAGATCGCTACGTACATAGTTTCATAAGGAAAACAATAATAATAATAATAATAATAATAATAATGTAAAGAAATTATGTAGTAATACAGCATTTACCATGGAGATGGAGAAGAGATGCTGGGCACATAATATGTACATATTATCATTATGATTATTATAGTAGTATTACGTATTATATTATTAATATTATACATATTATTATTATTACATATTATTATTATTAATTAGTATGTACGTATTCTTATAATAATAACTATTATTTACCATTCAGAATTTTTATTCACACAAAAAATAGATTTACTGTTAAGCAGATTACTGCATTATTGTAATAATTGTATAAATAATGTCAACCCATTTGTGACTGCATATTAGACTGGCCAGTTAGACACGCATTGGACAGTGACGTCATTTGTTTACTCTTGAACAATGGCAAAAATCAAACATTTCCACTACTTTCAGCTCAATTTCAAGGTACTTTTCATTGTGAAAGCAATCAAAATCATATCTATTTCTGTAATATATCTTCCATTCTATCAAATGAGTCCAAAAAAACGAGAATACAACCATAAAAAATATACAAAAATATACTGCTAAGGGGTGGCTAATGGCTGAGAAGTGAACTCCATTAATAATGTTCCAATTTCTTTCAATTTTGGTGTACGTTAAGAAGCATCTTTCCATCATACATTGCCCAAGTTTCAATAAGACAGTCCAACAAACAAATGAGATCCAATTCCCTAGATCAAGAGCAAGAGCCCCTCACCAGCATCAAGGAAGCTCCCTTGAGACCTGCTTGCATCTGGAAATTTCGCTCATGTCTGGAAGCAAAAAATCGACCAAGCGACTGCTAGTACCTGGAAAAACTTGCACATGGATGCACTCATAAGCAGAGGTTCCACTGTACTTGTTTACCGACAACTCGAACTTACAACAGGCCCTCTGACCAATATGTACACCTAAATAATATACAGTGGACCCTTGGTTTTCGTGTTTAATCCGTTCCAGAGCAATCGGCGAAAACAGAAATCAGCGAAAACAGAAACCATTTTCCCCATAAGAAATAATGTAAATCCAATTAATCCGTTCCAGACACCCGGAAGTATTAATAACAACAAAAAATTTTTTTTTACCTTAAAGATAGATTTACATGAACAAAAATATGAACATTCAACATGATACTTACCTTTATTGATGGCTGTTGTTGATGGATGGAAGACAGGGAGGAGGGGGAGAGAGAAGAGAGGTTATTGTTTGGAAAGGGACTCCCCCTCCATAAGGATTCTAGGTACCAAGTTCTTATCAGGGGTCACTTGCCTAGCCACTTCCCTAGCTTAAATATAGATTTACATGCATTAAAGAATGACAAATAAATATAAAGCACTAATAAAATGTATAAATGAACATTTAACATCATACTTACCTTCACTGAAGACTCTTGTTAGTGTTTGGCAGATGGGGCGGAGGGGAGAGGGAGGCGATTTTACTGTCTGAGAATATGGCACTAATATCAACTCTATGGCTTATTTATCTATCACAATTCAACTAATATGACATAGTAAACAATATTAATAACATAGAAACATGATATATACACCAGAATGAATAAAATGAGTCATTATGTATGTCACGAGAGGTGTTCTGTTGTTGTTGGGTGTATAAGGGCCACTGGAAGCATAAGCCATACGTACATAGTGGTGGTGAAGCAGCAGCTGAGGTGGCGTTGTTGTCTGTAACCCTATACAACTCAAACAGCGTTGGAGGAGTTAGTAGAATCACTGAACCACTGAAGAAGGCACCTTCTACCACCATCACAATCACTACTACCCTCTACCACCACCACTTTTGGATTTTCCTACAAACTTCCACAGGTTGCAGCAGTTCTAGAAACATGTCCAGTGATTGCACATATGTAAATATATAATAGAACATTAGTATTATACAACATTTGTGCATATTTATTGTAGTAAACAATACTGGTAAACAATATTATAATAATAACTTTAGTGTGGTAATTGTGTTCAATACAGTAAGTGTATATATATATACATTATATACAGTATTGGTCTCACAGGCCACAAATGTTACTAGAAAAAGAAAAAATTAAAAAAGAAAAGAAAAAAGTATAAAAAAAAAATAAAGAAATGCAATTTTGCGGAAGTCACTGATGTTGCTGCCACCCGGTCATTTTGGGTCAACTTCTTACCTTTATATCTCGGTAAGTACTGATCAGATTTTTTTCTTTTTATTACCTTCACAAAAATATTATCTTTAATTCTGTAAGAATAATTTTTCTTTTTTAAATTTCTTGGACACTGGGGCACCCCTTTAAATTTTGCCTCCGGACCCTGAAAGGGTTAATCCTTTCAGGGTCCACAGGCCCTCTCAGAGACTTGTTCTCAGGGTCCCCCAAATTTCAAAAAAAAAAAAAAAAAAAAAAAAATTTTCTTACGAAAAGATAGAGAATCTTTTGGCGATCATAATGACACCAAAAGTATGAAATTTGATGGAAAACTTAAGGAATTATGCTCTCGCGAAGTTATGGTCTCAATGATGTTTACGCATCGGCGATTTTTCCCACTTTGAGCCCTATTTTCGGCCAATTCGTGTATTAGTCAACAAAAATCATAACTATTTCGCTAGAACTCCATTTTTTCTATTGAATGAGTACAAGAAACCACCCATTTACAGATTTCAACTATCCAATACAGTGGTCAGAATTTAGCAATTTTGCCAATTTCACACAAATTTCAAAAGATGCCCATTTCCAAATAGGGTCCAGAATAAACAAGAAAGACATTCCTGGCACTAAAATAACATTTCCTTCATTCATTAGCCACGTTCCCAGGCCCCTCTTACATTCTTTTGCTTTCCATTTTGAATTTTTATTCTCACAAAATATAGAAGATTTACTGTTATGCAGACTATTGCATTAGTGTAGAAATGGTATAAATAATATCGGCACGCTTGTGAATGAATATCAGACTCACCAGTTGATGTGTATTGGACGCTTAGTATGATTTGTTTACTGTTGAACTTCAGTAAAAATCGAACATTTCTGCTACTTTGAGCTCAATTTCAAGGTACTTTTCATTGTAAAACCAGTCAAAATCATCTCAATATCTGTAATGTGTCTTCCATTCTATAAAATGAGACCAGGAAAACTAGAATACAACAATAAGTACCATACGAAAATACAGTGCAAAATCGCTGTTTTAATCCAAAAACACGGTCAGTTTTATTTTTCTCATTACACACTGTGTGCTGCAGGATTTTTTTTTATACTGCGCATATTGACCACACAGACCCATTCTTTCATATGTAGGCCTACCAGCTTTTTCTCACTAGATTTGAAGGTGCTAGAATTTATGCGTACTAGTACGTCAAGGACCCTGGCGCGTAAGCCGTACTAGTACGGCCGAAACCCTGAAAGGGTTAAAGATGGTTGACAAACTCACTACTATTATGGTATGCTCCTTATTTAATGAGGAATTTGTTTACCGACGTGGTCTTAGTGTCATATAGTGAGAAGAGGCTGTATTATAATTGCCATGAATGGAATATAATTTTCAAAATTTTGTCTTTATTATGCTTTGAGATAACATAAGAAACAGCAACATGGCCAACTTTAGTCAAATGTTGCTGACAAAAAGAGACCAGAGTCTTCCGACACATTCATTCAACTAATACATTCATCACCAGGCATCAACATCTACAACACAGTTGACAAGTAGTTCATGTGACAGTAACAATGGTACTCAAAAAACGACAAGGTCTAACTGGGCAGAGACATAATGCTGAGAAATCATTTCATCCCTGGAGAGGACTACACATTTCTTGTGATGCAGTATACATCATAGGAAATGGCTTAAAGGCTGCAGGGAATTTTATATGCCCCCTCTGCTAAGGGAACATTTTGAATTCACTGTGCTCTGCTTGGTGCAGACACACTTGGAAGTTGTGGCAG